CTACTTTTGGTTTTAATGTTTATGTTGCACATCTTAATACAACAGACAACATATTTAGCAGGAAGTGAAAAATATAGCATTTCTTTGCTTCAGCAGATTGTTTAGGTAGTTTGTCCTCAGCAGGGGCAGCTAGAGATGCTAATTTGATCCAGTTAAAACCCATCAACCTTCCATAAGTTCTGCTTTTTGCCATTAGGCCTGTCATAATACACAACAAATAACTTAATCACATGATAAATTAATAATATAATTTATCTATTGTTTTTATTTCTCTCTCTCTACCAAAATCTGGAAGACAAAAGTCTTCAGTTTGATGATTTGGTCTCAACTAGCCCCCCTTTTTTGGAAGGACAGTTCTGTTTAGTCTTCATAATTCATTTTTTTTGTTTGTTTCTGTTTTCTTTATTTATTCTCAGATATTTAAAATGTCTTTGGTACCTGTGTTAAATGTTCATTAAAATTTAAAGATTATTGATCTTTGAGAAAGTGCTTTTGCATTATTATGCCATTGCCGTTGTATCACTTGAAAATGGTGTCAAAGCAAGAATATCATCGTTTATTGCAATAACTTCTGGGACAATTTACTGTTATTGTGACAATTTATGTCTCAATAACATATTTTGTAAAATGGGTTATTGTGACAGGCCTAGTTGCCGTCTGTAAAACTTGGACATGTCCTGCTGTAAACCAGACATAACGAAGACAGGCTGACCTCAACTAACCTGCTAAATGGTACTTGAAATATTTGCAAATAGTTGTTTACTGGTGACGTAGAGTTTCAGCCCGTGCCAGTGACGCCTGGCTCCAGCGCTGAAGGCTGCAGATGCGGAGCAGTCAGCGAGGACAGACAAATCCAGATTGAGTAGGCTGGCTGGGAAGAGCAGCGTGGATCACGTCGTGTTGATCATCACTTGTGCTGGAGTTTCTCTGTGGCTTTTATCTCTTTTACATTAGCTACAGCTAAATCCGTATGTGGGTGGCGCTTGATTGCTAGGCAGCATATGGTCCCCTTAGCATCAGATCATTCCACTACGTGCTTTAGCAACTGCGAGGCTCTAGCTCCAGTCTAGCCTTGCAGCAGAGATAGATCCATCCAAGACAAACAATAAGATGGCTGAACGATGTGCAAGCCTCAGCGTCTACCCTTAAATGTTAGTGAATTTAAGGGTAGATGCTTTATTGAACAATGACATTTTCAATACAAGGAAGCTCAAAAAGCAACAGCACCAAAAATTTATCACTGATTTACATGTAGTTCCTGACTGTATTATTTGATAAAAAAAAGGATCAAATTGAAATCTATTTATTTGACTTAGAAAGTGTTTGACTGGATTGAATTGAGTTTTTTGTAAGGTGTTTCGAGACGATATTTGTTGTGAATTGGCGCTGCATAAATGAACTGAAATGACTGAATGAATAAAATCTCCTTAAAGGGATTAAGTCAATATCCATTTGAATTTGGATTTTAATTTCTCCCAGTTTTTTTGACGTTTACACAGGCAAAAACTGGGTCGGTGTCATTTACAATTTAGAGAAAATAAAATATCTAAAGTAGCAATATTTAGATTTGGTAGTAAAGATTTGAAACAAGATTGTACAGAGAGAGGAGGACAGTTTTAAATGTACAGACTTTTAGATCGTGCAGTTTATGTAGCTCCTTCATGAATTTCTATTTTAGCTTGGTTAGAATCAATTTGTGTTTTTGTGTGCGAGTCTATATTTCATATTTTCTATAGATGCCTGAAGTGGCTGAAATTTTTTTTTTAGAAATTGTCTGTTTTCCTTTTATCAAGGCAACAGTCCAAGCCTTTTTTTATGTTTTGGATCTTTAATAATATACACAGTTTGTTTTTTGCTGAGCAGGTAAAACTAAAAACAAACTAATTTTTGCTTTTTTTTTTTTGTTTGTTTAATGAATTTTATGACCTGCCAGTAGTTAAAATTAGTCAATTTTAACTACTTGATAAACAGGATCAAAAAATATCACCGACAGTGTCTAAACCACTGTCAGTGGTGTCTAAACCACTGACAGTAATAATGCATTGTGATATGCAGATCTGACCTTCTTTTCATGGTGAAACGGTGACACATCTGACCTGTCAGGTGGAGATCAGACATGATTCTGTGACCTTATTCATGTTTTGAGCTTTTCCTTGTCCATGTTCATCTTTATTATAACGACCCACTCTCAATGTTTTATACATTTATGCAGCCTAAACAAATATAGCTAGTTGTTATTTTGCTCGACAGCCTGTTAATCACTTGTTGGTTGTACCCTAATGTACATTTTGAAGCAAACTTCTGATTACATGTGTATGACAAGAGTTTCTTTAAAAGATCATAAGATCAGTCCACTGAAAAATATTTACCAGCCAATGACATCTCAATATTTGCACAAAGTAATCCAATAACATGCAATGCAATTGCCAGCTCTCCCCTGTAGGTGAAATTCTGGGTCCAATGTTGCCCTTTGAGATCTCAAGATATAAAGGGCATTATAAATGAAATATATTATTATTATATCATTTATGACATAAAAAGAGTAAAGTGGAAATATTATTTAGATCACCTGCTGACGAATACACCAGCTGGAATTCATTACATTCAGCAGAATCACTTTTTAAATTATGTTGGACAATAATTTCATCTTGTCAGACGAACAACTAATGTTTGCATTAGTCACACCGGCATCTGCCACTAGCACTGGTGGATCTTAACGGAGCATCCAGGGTGTTCCCCAGCTGATTCACCTCTGAAAATAGCCTGCAAACCACGCCTACCTGGCACACCAGGGATGATGTCATCTACAAATAACTGTCCATGCAAAACCTTATCTACAAACGGCAAAAACACGAAGTCTAGTTATTTATAACTGCGTCGCGCCACAGGAAGTTGGTTGAACCGTATTGTCTCAATCATCTGCCAGCGAGTTAAATGCAGTCTGTTAAAAAAAAACAGCAGAGCTCGTCCTCCACGGTAGAACTAGTTCCATGTGCGAGCACCGACAGATGCACTTTGGGGCCATGTGCCCACTTCAGGACGATTCAGGCAGAATACGGCGACATTTTCTGTACCTTATTTCTCACCGTGAACAAACATGTAAAGACTAGCACTGAAGAGTCTGAAAGTCTTACCATGTTAGCTGCGGCCTACTGAAACCATTTCAGTTATGCCGGCTAATACTTTAGCAGCAATAGTAAAAAAATGAAATCTGACTCGGCTAACTAATCTAACAGACATTATTTCACTGTTTGTTTGTTTTTTTAGAATCTGAGCTACCTTGGGAGATCTTTTGTTTAAAATACCTAAAATCTCTGAAATCCAACCTGAATTGTTTTACACTAAACTGATATTCTATAAACACTTTGATTTCTGAAACATTTTCCTCCATTTGTGATAAAATAGTGTAAAAATTATCCACTTAAACTTCAGCATTTTTGTAGCGTCAGTGTTTGACCCTCTGTGAAATGATCTACATGGCAGTTAAATGCAAAGATATGTAAAGTTTTATAAATAAAACTGTACAAATAAATTGTACTCGTCTTTTTTTGTTTTTACTTAACTGAGGTTGAAACTGTGTGGAAATAGTCCAGTTCAACTTCAGTGTTGTACTGTTCCCAAACAGTAAATGAGGGAATTTCAAGACTATATCATGAAAGCATTAAATAATACATCCCTAACTTTTGTGGGGGTTTTTTTTTATTAAACTGAAAAAATGCATACAAGTTCAAGTTTTTTTGACAGATTTACAGATCAAGTTCTTAGTTTTCAGGGTGAAAAGAATATGTGACTTTAGTATCTGGCATGCTGATCACAGATCAGAACTCATTCAAAGGTAAAATAAATAAATATATTGATTGGTGTGTTCCACAAAAAAATGAAAGCTATTGTAACTCCTCAACTTGGAAAAATAAAATACGAGAACAAGACGACATTGAAATTTGTCGCCATGTTCTTCAGCCATTTAAAAAGGTATCTCAAGAGGTTATTGGCACTATTCCCTGCATCTCAGCTGAACATATATGGATTGAGGCCTAGATGCTATTGTCTCAGGTTCTGAATGGTTGGACCTGCTGACCAAAACCTACCCTCCATCCCACAGAACCATGGAGCCATCTCCGCTGCCCTACATTATTTTTTTTTTACCATTTCCTTTTTAATAGTCGACTTGCTAATTTAGCCGTTCACACTACAGTCATTGTCACGCTCTTTGGTATTTCACTGACTGCTTGTAGCATTGTTGTGTATATATATATATATATATATATATATATATATATATATATATATTTAATGCAGCATTAAAGTATCATCATGTTTATGATTATAATGCATTTTCAAATGATCTCAAGTATGCAGATTGCCTGATGGTTACTACAGCAGGCGGTGTGTGGCAATGTAGCAATCCTATGGCCTGCTATGTCAGCTTCCCTAAAAATAAATCGTTGTAAATTGACTCTAAAAAGCCCCAACCTATTATTCAAAGCATATGCAGTAATATTATATAATACAGCAGTTTCATATACAGCGTCGTGCTTCCTATATGGAAATAAAATGCGCTTTCTATTTAATGCACAGCACTGCCGCTACATGACTAGTCGGTGCAGTTTTTCTGCTCGGTGGGTAAAAGTGTGCCACAATTAACCGCAAACCCACATGCAATAAGCGGGTATTTATGTCACTAAAACTAATTTGCGAGGCCCTGGTTGCTAATAAGAGTGTGGGCTATGTCGAGAAAGGATGAGAAATATCTGGGCCACAAGCTGCAGGCTACTGTCAGCAGAGCCCTGGGGTATTGGAGCCAAAAGTGGGGAAGAAAAGCGTTTCCTCCTCGCAAAGCTCGACGTTTCTCGACCGTTCACTCAAAGCGAAATACTCATGGCGGAAAAGAAGCTGTGAAAACGCCACATTATTCGACACATTAGAGCACAGGCCTGCCAGCTGGTGTGTTTACCAGTCGGCGGAGGCTGAAAATAGGAGTCGTTGCTTCTGCTGCTTACCATCTTGCGGGTCGGATGATGAAATCCAGGCGATGAGAACGGAAAAGAGGTGAAACAGGAAGAGTCAGCGGGCCGCCGAGCTGAGCGGAACGATACAAAAAAAAAAACCCAACACGGTAGTAGTGCCTCTTCAGAGGTCTGGTCCTGGATTTGTACCCAGCTTTCAGACTCTCCTCGCCGTCTCTCTCAGTAACCGAGGCTTTCACTGCAGTGGCGAAGGGAGTGAGAGCCGCTGGGAGGGGACAGTAAGCGGAGGAGGAGGTTCGGTTTGACAAGCAGGCGGTGGCGGAGGGGCGGAGGGAGAGTGAGAAGGGGGGAGGTGCGGCAGTACTGTACATCCGGGTACTACAAGTTGCATGTTTTTTTTATTTTATGTCCTACACACAAAGCAGCTTTGTTCATGGGCTCCTCCTGGTGGTGGAATCTCCACATTGCAGGGAGATATTTTCCCCAAACTTTATCGCAAAACTAGAACACCCTGTAAAATAATATTTCTTGAAAATAACTTTTCATATGTTGGTTTCTAACCTTGTTTTTGTTTATTTCTGTAAAATAAAGTAATTTAAATAGGGAAACACAAAAATGAACCCTGTTTTAACCGTTAAAGTAATATTCTGAGGAAAAAGTTACCCCCTAGTGCGCAGGGTGGCCTTGTCTTCTCTGAGATGAGCCTCGAGAAAATTTGTTCCACTTCTCACTTTCAAACCCTGAGTTGATTTACAGATGGCACATGGTTCACACCCAGCATATTGGTTAAAGTTTTCAACCCCCCAAAATAACTTAAAGTTACGAATGTCTGAACTTCCTAAGAGTGGGCTAATCTTTGGGGTCTGCACAAGCAAGCAGGGGTGCTTGTGCAGTAATCATTGCGAGAGAGTCATGCATTGGAATTCATATATTTATCACAGAGCAAGATATGCAATAAAAATGAAAAAGCTCACTCCAAATGGTAAATTACAGAAATGAAACAGTCAAATTCTTGGACGTGGTAAAAAGCCAGAGTTTCCAGTAGCCCTCAATCCGGAGAGACTCATCAATTAATATTGTTTGAAAGGATTTTTATTCTTCATTTAATAAGTCTACAAAAGATTTTTATTGACTGAATCTCAAAATGGACAAAAAAATCATACTGTACAACAATATAAAATAATGACTGTGGTCTTTACATCAATTCTTTGGTAAAGTGTAAATGTCAAACAGGACTAGCTTTTGCTAAGGCCTTGTAAACTAAAAAGTAGCAGGTTGTCGCTTAGTTGACAATCTCACTCTGGGAGGAATGAGTGTCTTCTGTTACCCAACAAACGGGTCACGGTTTTGACCCAATATTTGGTTAAAACTACCCAAGTTCTTTCCCAGCAGGATAAATCGAGCCAAAGAAACAACAGTTTTTGTTTGTTGTGTAGCATGCTTAGTTTTTGCCTCAGATCTCATCAAACTTCTATTCCTCACTCTGAACGTGTGAGTCATTCAAGACAGGTGCAGTCATACAATCTGTGCTTTTTTGAACAGCCACAGAAGCGTTTAAAGTTGCAACGCACGAAATTCAATACATCAACCTTGAATTTTATAGGATTGCAAAGGACACACGGAGTGAAGCAAACAGTTGTAACACTTTAAGACATTAATATTTCTGAAGCATGTTAAATATGAATGCCAGGTCTTTGTCATGTAAAATACAGGACGCCATTTAATATACACATATAAGAACTTAACGTTTGTTTCTGGTATGAATAAGACGGACATTTCTCAGTAAATATAAAAAAAAATCTACAAGGAGCATCAAATTTGAAGACAAAATTTGGTCACTTTTCAGTTGCATTTAACATCAATGTCTATGTAATACCAAACAGCAGATTAGTGAGAATCAAATGTTTATTTACGACCTTCTGCTGACCACAGCCTAAAAGGAAATTTCAAATCATGTCCTGCTGAAAATTTCCTGCGTGAGTTTTGTATTCTTCCAGGTGCTGAAAGTTTAATAGAAATGGTATTTAAAAGGATTATTAGAGCAATTAAACCATGTAAACCACTTACTGTGATTGAAAACAACTGACGCAAAAAATATATATTTCCTTTTTTAATATAATAACATTATAAACATCATTTCAACAACAGGAAAAGTTTCTTCTTAATATAAATCCCATCAGAACAGTATATTGCACGTGTCATTTTGTTGCCCTAATATTCTGCATAGATCAATTTAATTCAGAATTGAAAGTGTGTTCTGAAAAAATAAACAATTTGAAAAGAGTTAATGGTTCTCTGTACAAAAAAAAATATTTTCTTATATAATGTCACAAAAATTATAAAAGAAAAACAGTCAATAAACAGGTCACTAAAGGTCAAGGCTGGGAATATTCCAAATCCAACATTTTTTTCCCCCCTCTCCCTCATGAAGACCCAGCCAGGCCCTTTTAGAAGAGGTAGAGAACACAAACACACTAGAAACAAGAACTGCATCCAAAGATAAAACACCTACTTTTATAGTTGGATTTAATGTTCAAATAATGGTATTCAGCATAAGAAAGTCCCACATAGGTAAACATAGACTGCTTCAAAAAAAGATGCTTTTCAAGTCAGTCAGAACGCACCAAATGTTTAGTCATTTTAAAACTGTGTTAATAAAACTTGATCAATGGGTCAGCAATCAAGAATGCATAAACATGGCTCCAAAGATGGCATCACCACCCTGAGGGCATTTTAGATGAAACTTTACATGAGGGGTCTGTTCATCGACTCAAATGTTCGTCCATCGTCTTCCACTTCTTTAAGAATAAGGGTCACAAGGGAATCAGGTCCAGCAGTAAAAACCTGATATTACTCTCATCAGAAACATTCTCCAGTTTGTTCTGGCAACCTGGGGGCATTCCCAGTCCAGAAATGACAAACAGTCCCCTTAGTGCAGGGGTCACCAACTCCAGTCCTCGAGGGCTACCATCCTGCAACTTTTAGATTCACCTCTGCTCCAAAATGTCTGAATTCCCTCACCAGCATTCATTCCTCTCTGCAATAGGCTGGAAAAGAGGAGTTTATTTGATCCAGGTGTGTTTGAGCAGAGACGCATCTAAAAGTTACAGGATGGTAGCCCTCGAGGACTGGAGTTGGTGACCCCTGCCTTAGTGGATTCAGAGTGTGCCTTGAAGTCTCCTACCAGTGGGACATGACCATTTATTCTCCAAATGAAGGTCCCTTGATCAGATCATCGAAGTTCAGGGTCAGAATGTTGATGGACTTGAAATAAGGAAATTCATTTTTGACTATTTTCTTACTGGAACATCAATTGCATTACTGCTGATAAGGCCCCAATCTATCCATCCATCTCCTGCTCCCTCCTACTATAACTTAGAAACAAGACTCCAAGACTCCATGATACTAGAACTTCTCCTTTGCAGGGCAGAGAGAGAACCTTGACCAAGAGCATTATTCCTCAACCCTGGTCCCTACAACCCACTGTCCTCCATGTTTTAGGCATTTCCCACAAGCAACTTAAACAAATGAGTTGTTAACAGGCTTTTCCAATCATCTGAATCATGTGGAGCAGATACACATCTAAAAGATGAAGGACAGTGAGCTGCAGGAACCAGGGTTAAGAATCACTGACTAACAGTAAGCAGATCATCATTTTCTAACTGAGAACCAGGGTCTCAAGCAAAAAGGAGCTGATTCTCATCCTGTCCACTTCACAATAACCCTCAAGTGAATGCCAAAAGTCATTGTTTGAAGACGTCAAAAGAACCACATTATCTGTGAAAATCAAAGATGAAACCCTGCAGTTTTGCAAACCACACATGTCCCTCTTGTCGACTCTGCATCCGGATTCTAGATAAGAGGCAGACCAGGCAAAATCCAACCACCACTGGGGTGTTTACGCAGTTCTTGCTTTGGCATCCTCTACCATCACCCTCCACAGAAAGAGACAGTTGATCGGAGTATCCAGTAAACTTTCTCAGGGAGACTTAGAGGTTGGATCCCTCTGAAGTCAGGAAATACTTTCAGATCCTCGTTCCAAAAAAATACTATACCCACTCAGTTTGCCACAGCCATAAGTCCTTTTTGAACCATTAGAAGAGGCATCTCCTTTATGTAACATCTACACCCTTCAGTTTATTGGTACAAATCTCCTAGACTCTATAGCACCCTGCTGCCAAAGAACCTTTTACATGCCAACCATTGCTGCCATACTGTTAGTATCCCCCCACCCCCCAAATTCTCACACATATTTTATGGCAGTGCTTTGCAGACAGCTGGGGGATGATTACTTGGGTGCCAGTTAAATAAAAACTAGCAAATACAGCAGGCATAAGGAAGGTGTGAAATTATGGATTTTAACAGTGCAGTTGTTTGACTTTTATGCTGGCTTTTGTTGCTTAATAGATATTTTAAAGCTAACAATGGATATGAAAAATGTGTATCAATAGCAATGTACACCATTTTAAGCTGCCCCAAATAATGTATGCCTTTGATTGAAAGGCATACATTATTATGCCTTTCAAAAATTTCAGACTAATTTTTTTGGTAAACTTTTCAATAAAATCTCCATCAATTTCTCCTTCTCAGGGTTTTTCAAAAAGCTAGTGCTAATCTTAAGCACTAGCGCTATGCTAATAGACCCTTGGGAATCATCTTATTGGTGCTTAAATACTAGATTATTTCTCCTGTATGTGACTAACTGTGTTGTCTTTGGTATCTTAGATTGAACTAAGCTTATGAATGGTTCTTTAAGTTTCCTGTTGTATGAACAACACTGAATCAATGGAGACTTTGTGACCAAATATCATTACTCAGCGCTAAGTAACTTAAACAAATTAAATAAATCTCAAGAAATAAGAGACAGCTCAAGACTTTTCTCAGTACTGCATGTAGCTTAAAAATACATACATATCCACATAACCACATCGGTAGCACCATCTGTAAAACACAGACTCATCACACTCATCGTAAACCCAGGTAATCTTACACAACTACACAGTACTGTTACACAAAAATGTATTTTTTCCACATTTGAGGGACAGAATACCAGAGTGTAAATGAAAAAAAAAACAACTTTCCAGTGAAGTTTATGTAGTCTTTTACATAAAATAGCAAGAGTATGGGTCTGTTTTGGTTGCAAAGAGCTTCACATTTTCTGACACTGACAGAAGGTTGAAGGAGGGAGGACTCGTTAACGCACACACCCACGTCTTTTACGCCGCCTCTGGCCGTCAGACGAACATCTCTTTGTTGATCCACATGAGCGTGCGCGTGTCGTTGGGTTTGCATTCGTACTCAATGCTGTTAAAGCTGTTGCCCCACTGGCAGTGGTCCCTCTTGTTGTAGTTGTAGAATTTCACCTGCCACACGGTTTCAAAAGATCCCGCCTCTGTGAACTGAAAGCACAAACACACGTACGAGACATGCACACCTTAAGGTCTGAGCATCATCGAATTTCTTGCTGTGAAAACGTGATTATTAATAAAGGAAACACCTCACGCACATCCAGTTATATAGTACATTTTGTGGAAAAGCCTTTAAATGTGAAAAGAAAGAGGAACATATTGCTAGGACAGATGGCTGCAGCGTTATAAACATCTACAGAGCTTATGATACCACAGGATGAAGGTTAATGCGGAAATGCGGGAGCCGTTGCAAGTGTACTGTTTAAGTGTACCGATTTATGTTATATTTTATGACTGCTCTAATTTGAATTTTGAAGAGAATACAGACACAAATATCAGATCAGTTGTGTCACTGACGATAGTGGAAAAAGCCGATTGAACCACACACTGGGTTCATACTCGTCAGACGTGTGCAGTACACCCATACCTGTATATTGATTTGAACTGGCTGCCTTTCGCCACTCTTTGTGTGTGCCACCCCCTCAGTATCATACTGACCGGTGTAAACCACAGACTGGGGGTCTTTGGATTGTTGCTCCAAGGGAAAGGTCACTCCACCCACACTCATGGAGCTGCAGGCAGAAACACAGCAAAACATACTGAAGACATATGCAGAACCTTGCAAAAATATTCATTTTGCCACGTTGCTGCTACAACTATTTTTGTGACTAACCAGCACAAAGTGGAACAATTCTTCTGAAACAGCTCAAGCTCGGGCAAATTGGATAGAGAGCATCTTTGAGCATTAACTTTCCTTTTTTTTTTTTTTACCAAAGATTCTCAATTCTATGTTTTGACTAGGCCGTTCTAAGACATGGGCATGGCTTGTTTAAACCATTTCAAGAGCTACTATCTTGGGACTTTCATATGCATGTTACACTGCAAAAACACAAAATCTTACCAAGTACTTTTGGTCTAATTTCTAGTGGAAATGTCTTATCACACTTGAAATAAGACAAAACTAACTTTAAAGGAAAACACAGGAGCTTATTTTAAGTTAATAATTCCTTAATACAGGTATTAAAGTACTAGTTCCACTGGCAGATTATTTCACTTAATATGTGGGGGAAAATGTCTTATCAAAAGTGACATAATCTGCCAGTGGAACTTAAAAAAAAAAAAAAAAAAACAATATTAAGCTCCGATGCCTTGCTAAAAAGTTGCTTGTAAGTTAGCTTCGTCTTATTTCAAGTGTACTAAGATATTTGGACGAGAAACTAGACCAAAACTACTTGTTAAAATTTTGTGTTTTTGCAGTGTAGTTCTCAGATGCAACTGATCGCATTGAAAGATAAGAACTGAAGAGTCTTTAATTAATAAAAAATGATTTCTCATTCATTCAGCTATTTTGCTACAATACGTAACACACAATCCCTACTAAATGTAGTTTGCATGTTCATTAAAATATAAAAAGCTTCAAATCGCGTGAGTACTCTTTCCAAGCAGCTGGACATCGTTGACAGATTTTTTGCTACCGCCCCACTGACAAATCAGGTTTGAGCTGCAGGCTCCCCCAGCTGTGCTCTGTGCCCCACATTCAGCTGAGCAGCTCTTCTGCATCATCCCATGTGTGACCTACATTCACATAATTCTTATTGAGGAGCATGCTCAGGGATGTTTTACAGAATTACGGCCAAACATCCGTCTCTAATCCGTGTTTGGAGATGGCAGTACAACTGTGCTGATTACATAACCAGGAGTCCAAATCACTAGAGCCCGGTGACACAACACCACAAAGGCCCGCATCCCAGAGTAATCCTTGGTGGATTTGACGTGGAACCAGGAGGTGTTTGTGTTGCGTTCACGTGCCGCACGTAGAGTCAGCTTTAAACTTGCATCGATGACCTGTGGAGCCCTCAAGACCAAAAATGCTGGCTCAATTAAAAAAGAAAAAATTGCAAAAACCCACGCACACCAAAAAAGAGCTGATCAGTCTGTATCAGCATGAAGCAATAATAATAATAAAACAATGTATTTTTTTAAACTACTTTTTTTTATATATAATAAAAATGCACAATTTCCATTGTCCGATGGTCAAACAGAAAGTACTCAGAAAATGTAGTGCATATGTTCGCAGCGTTTTTATGAAGAAATATCTAATGGAAAAAGTCACTAATCTGAGTTGAAAATATTCTTAAATGTATTTATTTTAAAAAGAAAATGCAGCAGCAACCTCACAGAAAATATTCAAATACTAAGCTCTAAATTTTCGCTCTATAAAAAGAAAATTAGAATTTGATACCTGTTGGTTTTGCCTCCCAGCTTCACCGGATTTGCCCCCTTTTTTCCCTCCTAGACCAGATAAGGATAATCCACGTGAATACCTACGTGGCCTGGACCGCTCCCGGCTTCACCACCACTTCGATCTTGTACTTGGAGCCGGTGAGCAGCTTGATGGTCCGCGTCTGTCCGAACCGAGCTCCGTCCGACTTGAAGAACACCGCGCTGTTGTTCGGAAGCATCTTCAGGGAAATCCCGATTTTGACGATCTGGGGAACGTCGGCCATGTTTCCATGCAGCCGGAGAGGACACCTTGATGCGGGCTGTGATTTTAGCGCAGGCGGAAAGAGTCAGGGTGCGCCTCAAGTGTCGCGATCAGTTGGCGGAGGAGCGGACCGAGAAGCTCGTCGGGCGATAAAGCGCGGCGGCACATTTCCGCCTCTCTCCCTCTCTGCGCGCGCGACGCCGCGTAATCCACTCCAACCCACAGCACGAGCCTAATCCCAACCCCAACCAATGCTCTCCTTCTATAATAATAATAATAATAATAATAATAATAAAAACCTCTCCCTCTCTCTCACAAAGCACACTCCCCCACTATATGCTACGGCGCCCACTTCTCTCACTCCTCGCGCGTGTCTTTGCTGGACAGCTGTCCTTGGTGCTGAATTTGTGTCTGTGGTGTCTAGAAACACTCATGGACGACACAATTAAAACGAATGCATTGTATCGGTTACAAATACAATTTATATTCATGTAAACATGGCTACAACAACAAAAGTACGTTTTTTTTTCTTTTTCGTAATTGCTTTTAACTATCTGTAAAGATGAATAGTCTATATATGCTGATAGGTTGATAGCGAAAAGCTTATATATTTAATCGTAGTGATAACAGAATCTAGGTTTCACAAGCTAACTTAAAGATTCCAAACAACTTTTTTATATTAAAATAGATATTGAGACAAAATATTATAATAATAACCAGAACTGCAAGGGACTCTTTGGACCTTCTACAATGGCTCTTATTAACTTTGGCTAAACATTAAAAGGAACAAATTAAAACAAAGAGAGAGACTAAGGACAAAGGAAAACTGAATAAAATAAGAATTTTATTCGGCTGTCCTGAGAGCAAAATAGCTCTTTGAGTTGTAAAGGTTGCAGACCCCCATCCTAGGTTCTGCTGGCTCGCTGTAATGCGATTATTTTACCACTAGAGGTCAGGCTTGTACCACAGCGAGAAAGGGGTTTTTAAACGAAAGAGACGGGGAGAAGATCGAATATTCGAATATTCATGCAAAAAGAAATGTGCAATAAAGTTGAAGGAATTTATGCAATCAGTTGTTGGACCTAAAACTGTGGGATGTAAAAAAAAAAAAAGAAAACATAAATAAATAACCTGCTATAACTACTACTACTACTAATAATAATAATAATAATAATAATAATAATAATAATAATAATAATAATAATTTGTAAACACCAATACTGGAGTCATCAATAAATTTGCAGAGATTATGCTGTGAATACATCAGATTTCATTTGTAAATAATAAAAATGTTATTAGGTTGGAGAAGTTGTTCAATATTCAGATGTTTAAATGGCAGGTCAAAGTAGCACCTGCACTCTTGTATGAAACTATGTTGTTGCCAAAGAGGCTTTCTGCAGAATGCTGCCATCTCGGATCACACGAAGGCTCACTTTTCACGCCATGTTAACACCTAAAACGCTTAAACCTCACTCAAGCACTAATTGACAGCTTCATTGATATGCCGCTTTTTTTTTCATTTTTTTACCTTCACATTTCAACCACAAATATATGTTGATTAAATAGATAAATAACTTCCAGTTGCTTTTCAACCAAAAGATGTTATCTTTTGCTTTTTCTTTAGAGCCTGAACATCACTAGCATCATTTGACACGGAGGCTTCTTCAGATTCAAATAGAAGCTTTGCTCTCACCAACAGGATATTTAGATTTCAATGTTTTGTGTCAGAACGTAATTGCAAACTCGTTCCTCTTATTCATGCAATCACTGCACTGACCCTTTAATATTGTTAATACGGTGGGAAATCTTGTTATTGAAGTAAATAAATAGTTTTTGGCCTGAGAATTTTCAGTCACTTGTCAAATGTGACCTATCTATCTATCTATCTATCTATCTATCTATCTATCTATCTATCTATCTATCTATCTATCTATCTATCTATCTATCTAGAAGATTTTATACTAAATTTTCTGGTTTTATATAGTTTGTTTTTTTTAAGAAAACTTCCTTCTGGAGTCTTGATTTGGCTCCTATCAACATGTGATCAAAGTTAACAAATGAATCACATTTCTCTCCAGCTTCATCCAGATGGCTTTGTTTTCGGGGCTCGTGCTGCACCACACCTCTGTCTGTCCAAAGCGTGAAGGCTATAGTCCAGTGGGCGAGTGAGGATGCGTTGGTAAAAGAATGAGTGCGGGAGGGTGGGAGGGGAGGGGATGGGGTCCTCCCTCCCGACAAATGTCTTCGGAGATCCTCTCCTTCATAACCCAACTCTTTCCCAGCCTTGCGCAGATGGCCAAAGTATCCAAATCGGAGTCTGCGTGTGTTCAAATGAGCGTAGAGAGACAGGATGGGAGGTCATTAGTAAATTAACTCATTATTAACCTCTCAATCAGATTTACATTTCATAGCTGAAGTTAGAATACTGAGAAACACACTTAGCTACATGTGAGTGCGAGCCGGTCTCTGAGCGCGCTCCACGCTCGCGCTGGTGATGCCATGCCGCGAAGTCACACCGGCGATGAAAGCGGCGGCACCGGGATCTGGCTGAAGACTTCCGCTGGGAACCGGACTCAGGAGCACCCGTTAAAAGATGTGGAATCTGGACGGAGGACGATGAATAACGCGGCTCAGGTCGGGGACGGGCTGCTGTCTCCCCCAGCAGCAGGTGCGGCAGCGGCGGCAGCGGAGAGGAACCAGGGCGCCCGGCTCAGTCTGCTGGGGAAGCCGCTGACCTACAGCTCGCAGAGCGGCCGCAGGAACGCGCGGTACCGGCGGCTCCAGAATTACCTCTACAATGTGCTGGAGCGACCGAGGGAGTGGGCTTTTATCTACCACGCTTTTGTGTGAGTACAAACTTTAGCTACAAATATTCAGAAAAAAAGTGCTGCGTATTTTATTCATGGTTTTTAAAACTTCTAACTTTTAAACGTCGAAAAACTGCTTAGAAAATACACGTCTTTTCCGCTGTGCTGCTTCATTTACCCGCAACATCGACTTCATCACCTGTACAAGTACAATTCAGACACATTAGTAAAGAATAAACTAGAATGCTGTCAAAAGGTTATTTTTGGTGATTCAATTAAATAAGTGAAAGGGGTTCATTAATTAAAAATATTACATAACTCCAATAAATAAATGTTTGTTTACACGGACTTCACAGTTGTCCTGCAGACAGTCATCAACGCCCTCCACAATAATGGTAAGCCTCAAAAGGCATTACTAAAGAAGCTGGTTGTTCAGATAAAATAGTACCAATTTGAAAGTTTAGTGGAAAGAAAAAGTGCGCCAGAATAATGGTCACAATAATTGGAAATTAAGGTCCCAGAGTCGAAAAAAGAAGAGTAGAGAGATGCAGAATCCACGATGGCTCAAGGCTAATGTTGATGTTATGTTGAACTGCTCTAAAGTTTTGAGAAAATACATATATTTTGAGTTTTTAGCCACCGTAAGCCACAAATAAGTTATAACGTTGCTGAATATCAATTTTTGTAACAAGAGCTTTTTGATGATATCCTGTTGTATAAAATGTCCTTTGACATGGTGGCTCATGCCATCATGCACAACTGAGCTACAGTAAACAGAGCTCTATATTTCTGAATCAGAGCTTGTTGGTCATGATAATGTTTGTTGTGAATCAGGTCAACACAGACAGAGCGAAAGTAAGTGACGCTGAAACAGAAACTCTGGTGTGCTCGCTGTCGCTCGATATAATTAGGTCACAGCTTAACTTATCTTTGTACAACTTGGACTTTCTCCAAGAGATCTGGGAAATCAGTCAGACTACAAACGTGACAGATATCAACAGGCCAGTGCTTAAACTTTATTCAAAACAAAGGGGTTCTGGGAGGAAAGCCCTTAGAGTGAAAACAGCCTCCCACTGACCACAACTTGTTTTCTTCTTCTTCTTTTTCTTATGTGAAATACTCTGATTTCCTCTCTCCACTCTCACACAATCAATTTGCAGATCTTTTCTGACCTCCCCTGGTTTTTGTCTGGTTTTTGCGACACTCTGAATGATTTGTTGCTTGACGTTAATGGTTTCTGCATCCATAAAGTTTTTTTGTCGGCTTCGCACAAACCCGAAAAGCTTCCTTCCGAAGCAGGAAATGGCGCATTTAGCTGAGTAACAAGTCCACAGCATTACATATCCTCCACCGTACTTTGGTATAAAGTGGTCTTCTTCATAACAGTCAAATGGTTTATCATCAGAAGATGTTTTTTTTTTTTTCCATTACTTATCACTCATAAACAACCTGTTATCGCAAAGATTCGCCTCTAGTGTTGGTCTCATTGTCTTGGTGATCCCAAGATCTTTGTGGCATTGAAGCTTAGATGAAAAGATGGATTTGTTTTAAGGCTTTTCATAACTCTACACCAGTGGTGCCAATGAAAAAGGCTTCCACTGAGGTATTGTGTTCCCATCATCGGACCGCCCTATTCCGAGCCCTTTCTTTTGGAAGAAGAACTCTGTGAGAAGGAAGTGGAGCTGTCAGAGGAGATGCTGCGAAGCCGGATGCTGACATTTTATTTGCTCCTGCAGGACAGCCGAGGTCACAGGGGTTAAGTCGTTACATCTGCTCCAGACCGCAGCCTCCCACACTGAGCGGTTCTGATCAGCTGTGCACACTTAACAAAGCAAACCATTTGTTTAAGTGGGATGTAGGGGAGATATGCACAAGTAATCTCTCACGCTTCAGGCAAGTTTGCAGGAAAAAGCGCCAGCGCGTTCTAAAGCGGGACATGACACTTAGCAGAAAAGAAATGAAATGACCTGAAAATGTAAAACTTTACTCATAAAGCTGGACTGGCTGAATGTTTGACACTTTTATTTGACAAAGGAAAAGTTGTTTTGGCTCAGCTTTCTTGATCTGGATTGCTTAAAGATGGTTGTTGGCCTTTGCTCGTCGTTAATCTTTAGTAATTAATTTGTTTGTGTGGCTTTTCTTTGGTTTTTTTAAATATTCTTGTGGAAGAGCTGTGAGTGTTTGTACACCTGGACTTTGAGATGTTTAACTTTCTCTAAAAATGTATTTCAGTTCACTGAAAACCAGTTATTTAATCTGAAAACTAGGGGGTGATAGAGAAGCTCAGTGCTGAATCATGTCTGCTTTGCTCTGATATCGTGGCAGTCAGAAACAGAACATCAGTGCTCTTAATTTCCAGTCAGAGGTGAATATTATGTGAAAGATGCCCTGGATTTATGAGGATGAAAAATTATTAAACATATCAAGACATTTTTTTCTTTTCTTTTTTTTTTTTTTACAGAATCTGTATCAATGTGGAGTCCAGGCCCAGGTTCCATTGCTCTATATTTATTACCTTTTAACATTCAAAATGTTATTTTCCTTCTCCCAAATCTCAAACTGTAAATACTCAATCAAATTTAGATAATCACTTGCCAGGTTTAGCATTATTGTCCAGCCTCAATGTATCTTCTCAATATGACTGCACAGTGGATAAAACCAGCAGGTCACCACTCCCTATTGAAACACATCTGGGTGCAACTGATAAATTATTATTTTTTCTCCACAGAAAACCTTTGTCACCCCATGATAGAATGACACCCTGAGCGGTGAGCTAACATCAAAAATCACAGCATCAAAATAAAAGTTGGATATTAATTCGGCTACTTCAACTAACAGTGTGTTTAAGTGATTTTGTGGCAAAAAGCAAACATGAACTGGATGTGTGTGCGGCACAGGACAAACGGGGGCATTCGAACACACATTCAATCTCAGGTTCCAGCATCAGTGAAAAAAAAAAACTTCTATAGCTGCAAAGATGCTACATGAGTCCACTGTTTTAATCTTTATATATTGCAAATGAAATCTGAATCTCATAAACCCAGGATGTAACTAATCCTCTCTTAATTGACTGCATAATGCGATGCATACGGCTTTGATAAAGAACCCCAGCACGCAAATGCATATGTAAAACATAAAATGTCACCTAATTTCCAAACACACCGACAGATGTTTGGTAAAGCTGCACAGTTGCGAAAACTTGCGTGGCATCGACACATGCTTCTCACAAATACTTTCACACATAAGTGATCAACAAAGCACAAAGCACATGATTTATAAAAGAAAGGTTCCCTTTGATCGTTGCTGTTTGTTTTGGCGTCAGGATTCACACCGAGCATCACAAAGGTGTTTTGTTTCTTCTTCCTAATGTGTTTGGGTGTATAGAGGGATCGACTATACCTGCTGGATGAATTTTGATACAGACGAGTGGCTGTTGTTGCTTTCTCGCAGAATAATGCTCCTCCGGTTGACATTATGTCTCTATCTCCCAAATGAGATAGCGTGTGTTGCGCTAATCACATTTGCAGGAAATGGGTTCCAGCCACAGTCTGCATTTTGTGCAGAACCGACTTGTTGTTTTCTTTCAACAAACTCTTTGACGTTTCTTTTTGTTTTGGTACGCAAAAATCACAGCACATCCATGTACTTATACGTACCAGTGTGTAACGTGTTGCTTTCCCCACACGCACTGCACTGACATGTCTACATGTTGGATTGTGTCTGAGTAACAGAAGCAGGTTTGGTATTTGGGTGTGAGTCTGTAGGAAACTGATTGAGTTATCCATGGTATGAGTGTGTCAGCAAATGATCCCCAGGCTGTTTTGGTCTACTGACAGGGGAGGAAAAAATCAACCAAGGCAAATGAATTGCCACTCTGTGAGTATCACCTTGCTAAAATGATCAAGCTGAGCCTGTTCCCACTTATATTTCTGCAAAATAAATTGCTCTCTGAATGATGGACTGGGTCTAAAATTCATCTTCTTCTTCCCCCCTCCCCCATATTTCATATTTCTGTTTTTTTTTTTTAACTTTTCTGAGTCATGTTTCACAGAGTAACCCCATTTTGTCCACTTGTAAATTTGTGTCATATTTTGGCTGATGTATTAAATTTCAACATTTGAATGACCAACTATTGCCAAGTTTAAATAGCAAGAAGTATTTCAACAAACAGAAACTTTGTAGCTTATAGATTTTGTAGTTCATTATAAATTAAAACAAACTCAATAATTTATCGTTTTTCTCTTTTCTCGCTCTCTCCCTTTCTGCCCAAAACTGGATGACAAAAGTCTTCAGTCTTGTGCTTTGGTCTCATCAAGCACTTTTTCTTTGAAGGACATGTTTGTTTTGCAAAGACTTCAGAATTCATTTTATTTTATTTATTGTTTTGTTTATTTATTTTGGATATTTAGAATGTCATCCAGACCCAGTGCTACACGTTGACTAAAATTGAAAGTTTATTAATCTATGAGAAACTTATTTTGCCATTACGACTTGAAAAGGGTCTTAAAACAATATTATTTATCACAATAACTTATTCGAAACGTCATATAAATTACTCACATAAATTCTTCAAAACATAATTGTGTATCGTAGCTTTGCACGTGCTATGTAAGAGCTGTTACAGTTTATATCACAGGTAGTTTAATCATTTCTAGACAAATTTTATCACCCTGTATTGCTACGTGATCATTTATTGTGTTTCTCTAAAGCAATGCAACCAATGTTATTAAATCTCAAACAAAAGGATCTTGTTGCCAAACTCTGTTCCATCACTTGTTAAGCTACAGCTGCACTGATCAAAACAGGAGAGAGAAAAAAAAAAGGGATGTATGATTCGCTTAACATCAAAGGTCTCTCGTAGAGGCTGCACTTTGTTTCCTGAGAACACAGAGACATTTAAGACACCTGAGCGCATAAAAGACTCTATGTTTAGGTTCAGTGTTAGTTCCAGGTAGCTGGCCAGCACCCAATGGAAAATGCTGGAAAATGCTAAGGACCTATTAGATCAGATGAGCAGAATGAGAGATTTGTGTGTGCGTGTCTGTGTTTGCGCATAAATACTGTCATGTTGTGTTCCGGTGTTTGCATGAATGGGCACAGAGCTGGCACTATTAAAGACAGTGTGTGTGTGTGCGTGTGTGTGTGTGTGTGTGTGTGCGTGTGTGTGTGTGTCGAGTCCTTACTGGATAGTGTTACCCAGGACAGATACTGGGGAGTGGTGTCGCCACATCACTTGCTGGTGCACTGCCATGCCAGGCTTAGCAGAAGTCTGAGTGGAGAGGAACAAGGAGAAGAAAGAGGTGGAGGCAAATATTCCACATTTCCTAGGAAAGGAAACAGACAGAAGGCTGTTGATTTCCAGGCAACATCTTGATTTGAAGTAGATGGCAGACAGGTTTGAATTCAAGATATACAAACAGAACTGAAAGAACAAAGTGCAATCTGGACCACGACGGTACAAAAAGTGTTTCCTCATCAAAATTGTGCTAATTTGCCTTAATGCTGTTGCGGGCAAAGCATGTTTTTAAAGTTACTCAGTGCTCTCAAAGCTCTCAGAAAGCACCCTTTTAAAGATCAATTACCTGACAGCACAGCTAAAGGCTACTACAGGAGTTCACCCCCACTGATTTCTGAGACTAAATTACTAATAATTGATGCTCAAAGTAATTTCTACCAGAAAGGAGAACGGTGTGTAGTTTCTTATTCAAACTCATGATTAATAGTCAAACCCTCACCCATATTGTTCAGTGAGTCACATTTTGCCTTGTTTTAGTCATTAGCATTTCAGTTTTTCTCATTTCACTCTGCTCTTCATGCAGTGATTCCAACGAAGCTTTGGTTCCTTCGCGCCGGACACATATGGTGGGTGTTATGTTATGGACTCACTCTGAGGTGTTAATGAAAAAAAAAAACACACTGAACTAATCCAGGCTGGGTTCTGGTTGCGATGTTGACTGAAAATAGTCAAAAATCTACATTGATGAGGGTAAATTGGTGAAAAGGCAAAGGATTTGAAGGTGTTGCAGTAGCAAATGGACGCTGTTGTATTGAAACAGGTCAGAGAGGAAGTGTTTCGGCTCTAGAGGTGTGTGTGTTTGTGACTATTGAGACTGAGAAAGTGAAATTGTTGTGTGCATGTTTTTTTTCCCCATGTGTAGTTCTTCACACTTACAGTCAGTAGATGTGTGTGTCCACACTGGCTTGTGCTCATCTGGCAGTTCTCTAGCACATTATCGGAGGAACAGCTTTGCTAAGTAGACTGCAGAACTGATGAATTGAGACAGTTTCAGCTTGTTGGTGTCCCTGCCCACACTGAGTGCACCATGAATGGTGCGCATCACACCAGTGTCCCCCTCCCTGCCGCACATGCGACAGATATTTCCATATCCGTTCGACCAATTTGATTAACTCTGCCTCCGGAAAATTCTTGCTCAGAAGGGGTATTAGCACACATAAATATTTAAACTAGTGTTGCTCATGCACATTCTTGATTGCCTCTTAAGATTTCACAACAGACTTGAGGGGTATTGCTCATTGCAGTAAAGAAGTTGATGAAGTTGGTGCCATTAGGCTGTGGGTGTTTCTGTTTTTGAGCATCTCTTTTGTATAAATTTGGATTCTTTAGAGTTGTCTATTGTTTTCATTTAGGGTGTTCCATAAAATGTCATTTTTTTTTGCTTTGTTCTTTGCATATTTTGGTTTGGACTCTTTATTTAGTGTCAGTTTCCTTTGGTTAATGGATCCTTTAGTGTACTGTTTGAATTTGGGCCCACCAAGTCCACACACTGTGATACTCGATGGGGATGTATCAGCATCTCAGATCTTAAGATGGCACTGTGTGCTAACTCTGCTTTGCAAAAAAATGCTATCAGATTTGGTGGAAAAATTTTACCCTCAGTCCTTTTCAGGTTACCCTATTGATTTTCTACTAGACCTAGTTCAGACTGTGGTTATTCTAGTGCATTTCTGTAGTTTTATTTTAGGGTTTTGTGGCAACAGTAGCTTTTTTTGGAGAGAAGGGGAAGACGTACAGCATCAGGAATCGAGCCAATGATTTTCTAGTACAAAGCGTGATATTCGATGCTTGGGTTTACCGTAAAGTAAAACAATTAAGTCCTTCATCATCTTCTGCTATCTTGGAAAAACGTGATTATTTTGGGCCTAACCCAACTTGGAAATGTTTATCATTTCCATCTGCTTTTACAAAACGCCCTGTTGCTTCTGAAGAATAGCAAGCCCAGATCATGATTATGCTGGAGAATATTTTCGCATCCTTCTCCTGACCGATACCTTTGAACCACACAGAATGTTGCATGCCAAATTTATGGGTATAGCACATTTAAAATCACAAAATATTCAAAAAACGTTATGCAGCTTAGCCAAAAATCAAATGAAATAAATACAGAACAAAATAACAAGTAAAATACAATATAGGATGTTTAAAAATAAAGGTTGGACAGGATGTGATTTATTACGATACATTGCAAAAAAAACAACAAAAAAAACTGGTTGACTCCATTAAAAGCCTCTGTACTTCCTTGTTTAACTGCATGTTAATTAGTTTCAACCCTCAAAAACACATTTGAAAAAAATGATCTAATTTTACAGGTTAAATTTCCATAACACTCTGCTTTATCCACAGACATGTAAATGGTTTTGATCTCCTTTGTCAGTGTAATGTGGAGCTCTCCATGGATTACATTTCCTCCTCCACATATAGGTAACCTTTTACTGCTTTCCCACCAAACACACTCTGCTCTTTTATGAGTCACCCTCTGAATTCCTCACACACACACCTGCACGCACGCACACACACACATGCACACACGCATGCACACACACATATAAAAATTATGAGCTGCTTATACTGGTGCAGCACCACCTGGGTCGAGTGTTAATATTCCAGTAGTCTTGGCTGGAATTTAAACCTGCCATCTTTGTTCACATTCTACAAGGGACCATATCAAAAACAGGCTCTACCAATCGCACACCATGGATAATTTATCTGGGTTGTCACTCACACTTCTTCCTGGTGACATGGCAAGTCGGGAAGAGCAGCAACATCTCACCCACTCATCCCACAGCAAGTTCTAGAGAGTCATCTATACGAACAGGGGATTGCTTCCCTTGACATGTTTTTCTTTTGTTGAAGGATCCTTGATGACATCATTCATCACGCCCATCTAATTCCTGGAGTTGGGGAACTGATATACGGTTGAACGTAAAAAGTTCAAGCAATGTGGAGAACAGAGGTGTTCAGGCGAAGAACTACATTAAAGAAAATGAGAAAATGATGTTACTCAGGTTTTTATTCTGTTTCCTCAAGAGTTGGTCACAATGTAAAGGTCCCCACATATTTCATCTGAAGTGCTGAAATTGGCTCCCTTGACGTAAATTACATCATTTTGTTTCTCAGAAAGGCAGACTTGACACCAGACTTGACACCAGGCTTTGGTCTGACTATTTTGACCAAGCTCAGTTCAAAGTGTTGTATGATTGTTCAGAAGTTTGTTGCTGTGTTTCATGCAGAAATTTGCTCGGGCAGCAATGTTGATATTTCTCTTCAGTTTGTCCACTTCTGCTATTCGAGTTTACCTGCAGAGGGCATGAATACTATCAAACTTGCTGGATTTGCTTGTAGATTGATTTATTGACTCTTAACTTGAGATTAGCTCAGAATCACCCCAGAATAGCTGGGAGAGTTAGATACGGTGATGTAGGTCCAAAGACTAATGCTTATTCTCTTGCGTCTCAAAGAGTTGCAAGAGAAAAGTCTTTAGACTAACGGATGAGGAGAGATTAGAAAACATAATTCTGCCAAAAGGTTTTGAGAGAATTCTTCCATCCACCAGCTGGTTACATCAGTCTGGCGTCTCGGTAGCTTTGAAGGCTTGGGGTATGTGAATATATTTTATAGTTAAAAAGATATGCATTGAGAATCAAAAGCACCAGTAACTTGAGACATTTTTGTGACTGCGGGGAGTGATCAGACTTTACTGGGTCAAATAACAGGGGAGCAGAAGCAAAAGTTTTCTACTTGCTTCACTTGCTCCATTGTTCAGGTGCCTGTAAGGTGTGCAAGTTGAGGAAAGACGACTCAGCGTCAGCTACTCTCAGTGTCAGTGAAGTGTTTAAAATGAAGTCTGGGGAAGTACAAAGGAAGCTGTTTAAAATTATGCTCTTTCTTCAGAGACGTGTCGACTGTTCGTTGATGCTAATTTTAAATGAGGACTGGGTCTTCAGGAGACCCACTCGAACAGACTCAACCGAGGTTGTTCTGCTTTGTTCTGTTGAGTCTTTACTTCTGTCTGTCATTGACTTTGAGGGATGTGGAAATGTTAGGTGTCTGTATTGTCTAGGTCGGGGATATCGAACTCCAATTTTGAAGGCCGTGGGACCTGCAGCTTCTACAGTACCTTCTCAGCATGCAGTAAAGTTCTGCTGAGTTCTGCTAATGACCTGATTATGTGATCAAGGGGTGTTGAAGCAGAAACACTCCTGGTCCACAGAATACACTCAGAGGCTGCTGCTTAAAGTTAATAACAGAGCAGTTAAAACTTATATAGAAAATGACAGAAACGTATATGGTATAGTGTCATAATTTAAAGAGACAATATTATGTATTTTCCAGGCACATAGTATCATTATATATAGCTTAGTTTCAGCTAGCATGAAAATGCCATATATACATTGAATATGACTTAAAAGAAATTTGACTCCCTGATTTAATGCCTTGAAATTGGACTTCTGTCTCTTTAAAAGCTCCTGCTCTTTCTGAAACTCCGCCTTCAGGAAGTCAACATGTAAGATACTAAATAAATAAATAAAAAACTTCAAATCATTTGATTTTGTTTTTAAAATTATACCAAAACTTTTTTACAGCAACTGCTACCTTGTGCACACATTGTTCTGCTAATAACATAAACCACATAATGATCACTCACAGCAAGAAAGCTTGGAAGAAAGAAATATTTCAAATTCTGGTCATTTAATTCTGAAAGAGAGCTTCATAAAACGGGTGACAAAACTGTGACACAAAGAACACCTTTGGGTGTTTATGTTTGGTGTGGGCGAGAGCACTAACAACAACAAAAATATGGGGGCCGTCTTGATTGTTGGAGGTAATATTTGCTGTAAATAGGTGGGAAATATTACAAGTGCAGGTTTTAACCAGCAGACCCTAGAATTCTTACAACCTGAAATTGAATTCGAAAAGCAGACATGAGCAGAAACAAGTGGTAAATGTTATTCATCAGCCCAACTGTTATCCCAATGACAGCTGTAAGTGATTCCAGGAACTCTGACAGGTTTGCAGAACAGGTTGGCCAGTCAGCAAGTGGCAGAAAGAGCAGGCACAAAGAGAAAAGCGGTGAACAAAACGGATTAAGAAAAACTAACTTCAGAAAAAAACTAACATTTTTCAGCTGGATTGAATGTTACCCATCTGGCAAGTGCCACAGTCGGATGAGGAGTTAATGAGTCACAGTGTGGATAAACTTCATGGTGATGAGTTAATGAGGGACAGCTGAACCATGCAGAGTGCCAGGGTTCAGGAAGCCATGCCTGCAGGAACACACAGGGAGCAAAAGGAAGGTCACACTCTGATACACACTATAAGGGAAAATGTGTAAGGGAACAAGAAGGAAGATTCAACTACTCCAAAGCAAGTAAGACATATTATTGTACACTTCACTGTGGAGTTATGACAGCTGCAACATTGAGATTGGGACGTATTCAACAAGTCATAGAGACGGTTCAGGTTATAAATGTAAAAAGTTTTAATGAACAATTTTATATTTGTGTCTACAAAATTATATATGTTCATTTTCTTTAATGTTAGAAGTATAGAAGTTTTATTTGAAGTTTTTATACATGTTAATTTATACATGTAAATATGTATATGTAATATATGATAATTAATTTGATTTTAGGCTTTGGTGCAAAACTTATGCTCTTCTACTTCACATTTGTTTAGATTTTCTTTTGAAAGAGCCAAGCTTTACTGTAGTATTGAAAGCAGTCGTGATGCAATAGGTGTAACAATCTGAAAGCTGAGTTACTTAACGTAAGCCAGATGTTTGTCATAAACAGCATTACCAGGTGTTTAAATAACTCCTTGTGAGGCTCATTAAACCCTGCTGGCTTTGATTAAGCTTGTAGTGGTGTTAGATAAACGCCAGGGGGCGCTTTTAACTATGGTTGTTGGGCATGATGTCATGGTGAAAAAGCAAACTTATGTCAGAAATGGCTTTCCACAGA